AAAAAAAAAACTTCTCTCCGTTTGTACAGAATCCTTGAACGTTCCAGTATCTACACAAAAATTGTGGATCTGCAATTGTATCAATAGGGCAAATAACGTTATGCAAACCCACAACCAACCGAGCTGTATTATTTTCCCCTACCTGCAACACATGCTAGATGCACACGGCTCTAATACAACAAGGCTGGCAATCTCTATTTATCTTGCTAAATTCCAATTTGCCGAATGGTAACTCATTCATCTCCTGGGGGTTGGATGGGGGAGCGGGTGTGTGTCGAATGGTAAAACAAAAGGACTTCATTACGGGCCCCTGTAACACTGACAACAGTCAGACAGACCGTTATGAAACATGAGCAGAACCACACAGGCAATTAATATTTTATACAGCTGGTAATGGCTTCCAAAGGGCTGGCTCTAAAAATAATTCATTCTCTGCGCTTCAAATCCTTTCAGAGAGGTTGTATCTGCTTTTCCAAAACCAGGTCTTCAAGCAAAAGTGCCTCAGCCCCTGCTTTCTTTCGAGAAATCTCTCTCCCACACAAGTTCTAAGAAGGGGTGTAAGGCTGGGGAAGGAATGGGGGGGGGGGAAGAGTATCCTCAAGCAAGTCCTTTCAAATGCACAAATCAGAAGAACTAAGAGGCATAAGGAGGTCTTAAGTGACCCTTTATTCTGCCCTTGGGAATTCTCAACAATATCCATAACTATGGTACACATAGACACACATATATATACACACACATACACACAGAGAAAGAGACAATATGCCAGAGATAAGCAAAGAAATGCATTCCCAGAGATGATGCAGAGCAGAAGGTACAGTTAGACCTGGGACACCAGTTTGTCCCAGTTAGACCTGGGACACCACTGACAATTGTTCTGCTTTATTTTACATAACCATCATGAGGAACAGAGAGGCAGGCATAGAAATTCATAAATACTATCAAAATAAGCTCTCATACATCCTTCCACAAATAAAAATGCATCGCAGACCAAGTAGCGTAATGGCTTCCGAATATTCAAATGCATCCTGATGTAATTGATACATTATTTCCCAGAAAATTAATAAATCCACATTGCCCGGAGGGTCTTTTGTGGAGAAGGGGCGCTTTCACTGCTTGGCAGTGCCAGATTAGAGAGAGAAGATTATCCATGATGGAAGAACTGCCAAATTCAAAGCTCTGCCAGGTTCATGAAGGTGAAGAATCAGAAGATGTTCTGGGCATTCTGTGCTGGCAGGCTTGGAGATTAAATGTTACATAACCCATAACAAGTGCAATGCCAAACTGTAGGTTGGTATAATTTTTCCCTGAATTCCACGGGAAGGTTTCAGATCCTCTACCCTTTTTTGACCTTATCCCCACCAGTCTATTGATAGTGCAGCAACAGTAAAGGTGAAGTGTTATTGTTTTTCCGAGATGTCTTGTCTTTTTTTCCTCATATGTTCAATCAGGTTTGATTCTCAGAGACTGCAGGGTTTTTTGCAACCTTTTTCAGAGCTGGTTTGCCATCTAGGCCTGAGAGAAAGTGACTGGTCCAAAGACACCCAGCTGGCTTTGTGCCTGAGGTGGGACTAACGGTTTATAGCTTGAGGCTTTAACCATTACATCAAACTAGCTCTGTGGCTTGTCTAGGTTGCATCAAATTTTCCAGCTACACGTCTCCTTGACCGTGAAGGAAAAGGAGCATACAAACTACACTAATTCTTCCCAGGGACATCAGAATTGCAGCTCTACATTTTTTTAACATTCTAGAGCAGGGGTCCCAACCCCCCGTCCGTGGACAAGTATTGGAGCCGTGGCATGCCAGCAACTGGTCCGCACAAACAAGCAAAGCCCCATCCTTGAGATGCAGGCAGCACACAAAACCACACACTCTCCGGTCTGTGGAAAAACCTCCCTCCACAGAACTGGTCCCCGGTGCCCCCAAAATTGGGGACCTCTGTTCTAGGTTTGATTTTGTTTTATCTCATCCCTGTATCTGTTCCTTAGGGCTGTTATTACCCCTAAAACAGATCTTTCTGGAGTGGCACCTAGTAAAGAGCACTTATTTTAACAGTGGAAATTTTCTAAAACAGGAATGCTGCTAATCTTTAAATTAGTAAACTCTTTGATTATAAATGTTACCTAAAACTGATAGTTGGTTGTAATGGATGTTCAGAACCATGTCTGCCCAAAACAAAAAGGGAGACCTTGAACTAAACTGAATACATCATCAATATTATCATAGGTTTACAAGCAAATTAAACCAGCTGCTCAATTTCTATATTATTTAGAAATGTGTATTATAACTGAATAGAGGCAACTGAAAATGCAGAATAACAGAATATAGCATAGCTGGAAGGGACCCTGGAGATCTTCTAATCCAACCCTCTGCTCAAGCAGGAAGCCCTATACCATTTCAGATAAATGGTTTCCCAATCTCTTCTTAAAAACCTCCAGTGTTGGAGTACCCCCACAACTTCTGCAGCACAAACCAAATTATAATAGTTTCTATCTATTGTCAAATAAGATATTTTTCAGGGATGTTTTGTCCTCAATAGCCACCTTTTTATCCTTGCAGTGATGGCATTGTCAGAAAATAATAGCTTAAGGGGATAAGGAAGAAAAAAAAATATTAGGAATAATAACAAAAAAAATCAGATTGGGGATGAATAGAAACAGCAAATCAGCTAAAAAAAGCTGAAACTGGAGCTCTGGCCTCGTGACTTACTAAAATTTATCATACAAGTACCTAACAGGACACATGTGGCTTGTTAAGGTGTCCAAAATCTTAAAACCAGAGACCTGGGTAGCCTTATCTGGACCCCTTATTCCTTTTGTCACAATACTTGACAACAACTTGCATTATATTAATTTGTTGCACTACTGGTTTATTTTATGAAATCATGAAATTGATAAGAGTGCCGGATATGAAGTGCTCCCTTACCAGATCAGCAGGGTATTGGGTGAATGTAACAGGGGGGGTCAAGAAATGCTTTCCAGTCCACTGGTTTATGTATTTATTTAAGTATGCCATATTAATGGCTTCTCAGAAGGGGAAAAACTTAAGAGATGTATACAATATTCAGAAATAATCTCCCTTACCTACTACAGGCATAAAATGAATACGCTCAATCAGTCATTAGAATCCATAGAATCTGCCACAAGAATACCAATCAATTTTTACAGCAATGACAATTTGTGGGGTAAGGGGAGAGAGAAATGTTAAACTTTTAAACTGTTGAGAAACGGTGCAATATCATATGCATATTAGAGCCTAACATGACTAAGAAATATAGCCAATTTCCTGTTCCAAGCTGATTTGCCAGTAGGTGAATGGGCTTTTTCCTCCATTTATTAGTACAGGTAGTCCTTGACTTACGACTACAATTTGGGCTGGAGCTTCCATCGCTAAGCTGCTTGGTCATTAAGTGAGTCATCATGTGACCACATCTGATTTTAGACTTTTTTTTTGCCACTGTTGTTAAGCGAATCTGGCTTCCCTCATTGATACTGCTTGTTAGAAGCTGGCTGGAAGATCACAAATGGCAGTCAAATAATCCCAGGGCACTGAAACTGTCGTAAATACATGTGGCCATGGAATATCACAACCAGCCTTAAAGGTGAGTTGGCTGTTAAGCACCCGAAATGTGGTAACATGATGTATGTGTGTGTGCCCCCCCATCCAAACTGGGTTATAAGTAGCTTTTGGGAAGGGTGTCCATCATAACTTTAAGCAAACAGTCATTAAATGATTACCTGTAATTAATATCAATTATGAAGTATTCTCCTTAAAAAGTCACTTCTTTCCATTTTAGCATACCTAGTGTCTGAAAGCATACTTTGCCAGCCAGCCAGCATACCTATATTCTAGCACTGCCAGCTATATGCAAAGCTCAGGCTTTACGTTAGGAAGTCCTTGGTTCAAACCTCAAGCATCTCTAAACTAGACTGGGAAAAGACTTAGTATTTTGCTTTGCTTTACTAATTTACTCTAAGAGATCAAAGAAAGAATCTATTAATTAAAATTACTGGGCTGTAGAAACTGAAAAAGTTTGAGTTCGCTTAAGACAGCTTTTTATTATCCTAATTTTTTTAGAGGTATAGGTCTATAAAACCCAATACACATAAGCCAGATTTTAAGTAGGATGATTACAGCATAGTCTAAGCCTGTTCATATCTGTTGTGCATATATGCCCTAGTCAAATATTTCCCCCTCTATGAAGGCAGGATAGTACACTGGATAAGTACAGGCTACCCCATCCCAATTAGAAGGGTTGGATCCAGACAAATCATGTCTGGCCATCTGCATTTTCAAACATTCTGCATTCAAATTAAATTCTAGCAGCAAAAGGCACCGTAGAATACTCCAAATAGGGTTTCAATGCTTGCATTATAGATTCCTTTTATCTTGATATGGATACAAGTAGAATTTACAAGTAGCAGCTATGCTGAGCGGTCTAAGAACATTCCATACATGAATTATAAGCAGAGAAAGAGAGAAGAGCCTGGAATGTAGAATGCTGGGAATAAAGGCCAAACACCCACAGGAAAACATCTTGCTTTATAATTATAATAAGCCACATCAGGGAATCAAGGCTCATTATTTCAAGATACATTTCCTGATCATGTCAATCGTAAGACTTAAGAACCAACTGGAAGGAGGCATATGAAAGTATGCATTGTTAAATAAACTTTCCAGTGTGTTTTATATCTTCAAAGGCTATGTAGCCATCCATGCTCAAAGCAGATCCTAGAAAAATCTGACCTTGAAAGAACTGAACATGAACAGAAAATCTGGCAGACTTAAAGAATTCAGTTAATAACTCAGCTAGCTAGCATCTCCTGCTTCTCTTTCTCTTTTTTTCTCTTGCATCACAGAGTGTTTCAGGCCAGGCAACAGCTGAGTAGAAATACCTCTTAATCCTGCAGCCAAACACCAGGCAAAGGTGAAAATGTCCAATGGAACTTAAGCCTATAAACATACTTGCTTTTCAGAACAGGACAGTAAGTCAGTGTACCTGGAACATCAATTAATCTCTTGTAGACATTCAAGAATGCCGCTTCTGCTTCTTTGCTTCTTTTGCCTAATGCATCAATCTGGGAAAAAAATAAAAAGAGGAGAATAAATCTTGGATCAGTTCCCACATCATACATAAATACAGTATATGTGACTGAATATATGACTGCATGAACATTAATGGTGCCAATGTTCATTTAAGATAAAAGTGAGGAACTGAGAACTTCACAATAAGTTCAGTTCTTTCCAGTTGGAAGATCTTTCATCTACTTGGTGCAAGCACCCAATTTTAGGATACCAATAAATCTTTCATTGCTGTAGCTGACTCCTGTCATTAAGAGGAGAAAGAAACAAGGGGCAATGATGGGACCAACCAGAAAGAATTGCTGTAGATAAGTTTCTGAAATGCCCAAGTTAAGGCATTTTATTGAGGCTAGAATACTGGAAAGACCTAAAATACCTTGGATTCCCAATTCAACAACCATATGGCTTAACTTATGACATTCATGGCTGAATCTATTTTATATTTCTAAGTATAAATGCAATTAACACCCATTCTTTCCCATTCACATCCATTTTCATCTGTAACAAGGTAATGTACTGTCCTCCAATTGTTTTGGATTCTAACTCCTACAGGGCCCCAGTCAGCAGGTTCTCTCAATAATTTAAGTAGCCCAACAACTCTGATGAGCTACTAGTATCAGACACCTGCCTCCTCCAGCTATCATTTAGTAATAGTTTCAGTTAGTCATCCAGGAACAGTTGCAACAGCAGGGATTATTTCTACCTCCACAAGGAAATCTAGAATTACTGGCCATAGTGAACTTAGATTTGATGAGGTCACCCCAAACAACTGCTAGGAAGTCCTGCACCGGGTAGCCTTCGGGTTTTGGAATGCTACTGTGAAAATCTACAGATCAGAAGTTTCTAACATTGAATTCCTGAGAAAACCTCTGGGGTGCATGTATTTGTATTTCAGTATGGTTTACATCCCTGTAAGACCCTTTTTCTAAAAGATAGTGTAAAGTTAAGTCAAAAAGCTTCATACACACCAATGGTGGAGAGTATCATTATAGACCTCAAATGCTTTAGAAAGAGCTGCTGGGTTGTTGTTGTTGTTTTCCTTCAGACATTGAGAGGCATGCTACCTCTAATTGTTGCCATCACATTTAACAATTATTGGGATTTTTTATCTCCATACATCTGTCCAATCTCTTTTTATACCCACCTAAATTGGATGCTAACACAATATTTTGTGGCAATGATTTCCATAACTTATAGTTTGATGCAGGATGCCTAAACTGCGAACAACTGCTGCTGGGCATTCTATGAAGGACAAAGACAACATCAACATTTAGACTTGAGAACTCAGAAAAGGCTATTTAGACTATTGGATCCAGCCTCCAATGTAATGCACAAATCCAAATTAAAGCATCTTTGACCAAGAGGACATCTAGCCTTCATTTGAGCAGATCAACTTCATTAGGTAATTGATTCCATTGTTGAACTGGTCTCACTGTTAGAAGCTTTTACTTACTTACTTACTTTATTAAATGTGTTCGCCGCACATCTCGCCACAAGGCATTCAACATTCAACTGGAACCTGCCTTCCTCAATTCCTAGTTCAATTCCATTAATTTGTGAAACTACTCTGAAAAATGCTAAATAAAAACCCTTGAAATCATCATTTCACCCGCCTTTTTCAAGCAACACCACTGATACACCAAGCATAAAAGAAGCAACAAGAAGTGTTATTAATGCTGAACACCAAAACAGCGCCGCTGTTACTTTGGAATCAGGTTTGTCTCTCACTCCAGCCATTAACACGTAAGCCTGAGAAGTAATACAGCCTAGCAGCTCCATGATAAACAATCCATGCTGTAACGCATTATATACCACTTACTTACTGGACAGTTACAATATCAGCTGTGCTACAATCAATAAATACACCTTTTTGCTTTTAATGCCAACAGCGAAACCTACATCTCAGACTATTAGGCCACAATGTGCCCTTTATTTATATCAGGATTTAAAAAAAAAAAAGCAGAGAGCACCTTTCTACTGATTCAGCTTTTCTGAATGAATTAGACATGAAACCCAAAGACTGGCACTACTTTTCCAGCATTTTCAGGTTTTTAAGGGCTAGATGAAACCTGACAATTGGGCAACACAACAGGAAATGCTGTTGTCTTTCTTGCAAGACTGATGTCAGAGTCACTTGAGTAAACCAGACCGAAATGACAACTATATGAGCTAATTCTACTTTACTGTAAAGATCTTGCAGGTCTGAAAATAGAATCCTTGTCCTCCCTTTATAGTCTGAGAAACTAGGGGGGGGTCCCTTCTGAGCCTCTTGCTCCACTCACTATTCATTGTCCAGCTGTCACCTATGCTGTCTCTTATCTGACTGTTCCCCTGCCAATGTCTCCTAACCATTCTCCCAAAGTCTTTCTCATGTACAATTACACAATTGAGACTCATTCCCTAAGTCAAAATGGTCATCTAAAAACTGATGTTCTTCCTCAATCTTCAGATTTTGCAATGGTTTTATAAAATGCTGTAATACTGTAAATAAGCATATTCTCAAAAATATTTTATATAACAAATAATTGTTATAATTAGTAGAACACTCTTCGATTTTGGGAGTAATTTATAATGAGAAAATTACAAGCCTTGGGGGTAACCCTTTCAGATTTATTAAATGGAACCTCCTAAATCCATTGAAACTTTGGGGTTTGGTCACAACCCAGTAACTTTCACTACAGGTAGTCCTTGACTTACCACCACAATAGAGGACAAAAGTAATGTTGCTAAGTGAGACATTTATTAAGTGAATTTTGCCTCGTTTTATTATCTTCCCTGCTACAGATGTTAAGTGAATCACTGCAGATGTTAAGTTAGTGCCATGGTTGTTAGATGAATCTGGCTTCTCCAATGACTTTGCTTGTCAGAAGGTCACAAAAGATGATCACACGACCCAGGGACACTGTAACCATCATAAATATGAGTCAGTTGGCCAAGCATCTGAATTTTGATCATGTGACAGTGGGGATGCTGCAATGGTCGTAAGTGTGAAAAAAGGTCACAACTCATTTTTTCCAGTGTCACTGTAACTTTGAACGGTCACTAAATGAACTGCTGTAAGTTGAGTACTAATCTGTATTTGGTGCAGTTTGTAATCACTGAGCTCAGCAGGTGCTTCTCAGAACTGCCCCTTCTGCTCTAACATTTATTAGTTATTATTTATTAAAATTCAGGATGTTCCCGATTGCCACTCTATATTTAATCCACAGCAAATGCAGCTTTGTGGCTTGAAGAGGTTAAATTCTGGAGTGCTTGGCTGCTTTCCAGACCCTTTACACAAAATCGGGCTAATGCAACAGCACAAGAAGCGCCCAGACTGGCCATGATTAATAGACTGCCAAAGACAGTGCTTTCCACAAAACACACACTTCTCATTCCCTTGCTTCCATAGATCATGGACTTATCCTCAAAATATCTGACTGAAATTGAATTTGGCTTCTCTCTCAACCGTTCATTTCCTATGTTATGCAAAGTTATATCCTTTTTCTGCCTGAGCTGAACCAAACCAGCTGCAGCCCTTCAGAAGGAAAATGTGGTTCCAATTACGAAAGCTGGCCTAGATACTGAACCACAGTTCTGATGCTGCTCTAATTGAGCCATCATGGAGCAAATGTAAAGTAACAGAATTGGATTAATTAGGTTTGCAAAGTTCAATACAAGAAATCTTGGCAATGGGAAGATGGGGAATAGGTACTTAATAATGAAGGAAGTGCTACACAACAGAACAAGATTTAAGTTATCTTAGTCCTGCAGCATCATATAGCCAGTCACTTTTCTGGTTACACTGGTATATGTGTTAAAAAAGAACAATACAACGCAAAAGCCAGTTTGATCTAGTGACTAAGGCACCAGGCTAGAAACCAAGAGATCACCAATTCTATTCCCGTAGCATGAGAACTGACTAAATGGCTTTGGGCCAGCTACGCACTCTTAGCCCAGCTCACTTCACAGGGCTGTTGTGGGGAAAACAGGAAGAGGAAGAAGTATTAGATATGTTCACTGCCTTGAGTTATTTATAAAAATAGTAAAGGTGGGATTTAAACAAATCTTTTAAAAAATGACCTTACATTTACTATGCAATCCAATCTGGTCGCATATAAGCAAACTTGTCTATAATATCCAGAAATTGGAGTAAGCTGGGAATTCCAAGGCATTTAAATACAATTTTAGATTTCTTTTAGTAGAACTTTACTGCTTCTTTGTTATTGTACTGTATGGTAGTCCTTAATGGTACTATTGATTATGTTGATTATTAATCTTGCTTATGCTGCTTCCTATGTTACTGTTAATACCGTTCTCTTTTTATTAATAAATTTATTAAGTTCTACACCATTCAGGGAACTGCAGTTAGTAGATTATATGAAAGTACCCAAAATCATTAAAATAAGGGGCCGTATTCATTAATGCTTAGTGCTGTAATGAAGCTATACTTTAGAATTTCAGAAACTATGGAATAAGTTTAGGGAGAAAAACTTAGGTAAAGCAACCATTCTCCTATCTCCTGTTGAAACAGATAGAGGCAATTCCCAGACCATTCTTATACAACTTAACCATCACTACCACAAAATCACAATATTTGTAAGAACAAATACATTTATTTTATGATCTAGCTTCCATCGATGAAGATTGTAGTTTTTCATATCCCCCCTCATCACCATATGAAACCCAGACTGAGAAAGCTACATGCATCCTCTCTCCTGCACAAATACAGTGTTAATCACCCAATTCAACACCCCTCCTGCTAAATTACTGGGTTTCACCCATCAATGTTGCCATAAGCTTCCTTATTCAAAGTAGTAGAAGAGTTTAGTCTGACAACCCCTTGCCTTGTGCCAAATGCAAACTGAAGAATGGTAGGCACTGCTAGTCACATTTTTTTCAGAGTCTCTGCCCTCTGGCCAGCTCCAAATTAGCAACTTCTCTGTTGCTCTTGGACAGCCCTACTATGCCACATGAAAAGAATACTGATGACCTCAGGAAATCCCTATCCAGTTTT